ACGAGTGGTTGTTCCGTCCATGGGTGGTCACTGTTAGAAGAGTCACTTGGATTGGTGTCCAACAACCACCATCAGTTGTTTTTAAAATATTAGTTGTTATGTGCTGTCGAGTTGTCTGTGACTCATAGTGACCCTATGTCCAACAGCCTTAAACCCTGCTCTGTCCTGTGCCAATCCCACTGTCTCTGACACACTTACCCCCATTACCCCAGTCACTGAATCAATCCACCTCATCGACAGTCTTTCCTGCACTGTCCTTCCACCCTCCCAAGCATGACGTCCCTCTCCAAGGACTGGTCCCTCCTTGCATCATGTCCAGAGTATGTCAGATGAAGTTTCAGAATCCTTGCCTCCAAGGAGCAGCCTGGTTTCGTTCTCCCCAGAATGAACCTGTTCATTTTCTTAGCAACCATCAGTTGTTTTTTTATACTAGTTTATTTACGAAATTCGAATACATCCCTCACACTAGTTCTGTATTTGAAAAGCAGCCCTCCGGCTGGAGCAAGGATCCCTCGTGGTGCAGCACTTAAAGCCTTTGGCTGCTAACCAGAAGTTCAGTGGTTTGAACCCACTGTCTGCTCAAGAGAAAGATGAGAGCGTGGACTGTGGTGGAGACAACTAGCCTCTCAAACGCTGGCGGTGTTTCTCTGTCCTGCAGGTCGCTGGGCGTCACAGTGGCCAGTGGGCAGTGCGCTGGGCTCTGTCTGCCTGGACTCCGGAGGGAGTGGTGGGGAAGGCAGGGGCCGCTGGAGGCGGGCGAGCGCCGGTGCTCCAGGCCCCTGACCGGAGGAAACTGTAATGGGTTCCACGTTGCAGAGTTGGAGGCCTGCGTCCTGCAGCCATTCGGCCAGCCGGGCCCTGACTTCTCCTGCCACACCCGCTGGTGTGACTTGAGCTTGTTTTGCATCAGAAATTGGACTCTTCCTGAAGAACAAGAGAAAAACATTCTCTCAGAGCGGGAGCCGCCAGCGTGACAGGCTTGGTTCTCCGAGCATTTGTGTGACAGCCGAGGAGACAAGCAGGTTATGCTTCCAAAAAAACAGATCCGGTTACCGCAGCTCAGGAGCATTCGCTGGCCTTCGCCTCACCCTTTGGAAAGGAGAGCCTTCCATGTTGTTACAAATAGTCTGATGCTTTTAAACAAGAACAACAACTGGTCTCCTTGGAGTTTGTTCCAACCCTTGGTGACCCCATGTGATGGAGCAGAGCAGAGCTGCTCAGCCAGGGTTTCCATGCTTGTAATTTTTATGGAAGATCGCCAGGCCTTTTTACCACGACACTGCAGGGAAGGGCTTGAACTCTTAGCCTTTGGGTTAGTTGTTAGGTGTTGTTGAATCAGCTGTGATTGTAGCAACCACCATGTGCAACAGCAGAATGCAGGCCGGCCCTGCACTGTCCTCAGCGCTGCTGTGTCTGGGCCCAGCCTTCCAGCCCCGTGCCAGCCCCTCCCCTCTGCTTCACCAACCCGATGTCCTTCCCTAGGGACTGTCCCCTCCTGATCACATGTCCACAGTGAGACAGTCTCAGCATCCCTGCCTCTCAGGCGCACTCGGCTGTGCTTCCTCTGGGACTGATCTGTTTGTCAGTCAGGCGCAGACCGCCTGTGACAGCCAGGGACCAGGGCTGCACTGTGCATCCTGTGATTACGAACAGTGGGTGCGGTCAGCACTGTTAGCAGGGCCCCTCCTAACTGGCTGCAATGAGAGATGACCTCAGGGAGGAAAAAAGCTGCCGGAACAGTCCAGAACACATAGAAGTCCTTGGCCAAACAGGAGTTTCTAGGGCAGAGTGAAAACCATCTTTTTTGTTCATTTGCGTGAACGTGTACTTACCGTGCTGTGGAACTTTTGTGATTCCCCCGCACTCCCTCTTCCTCATGCTGTCGTCCCCTGGCCCTTAGTCCTGGGACCCTGCACAGGGGATGACTGGAAGGGAGGGGTCTGGCCGGGAATCAGGCAAGTGTGCCCAGAATGTGGTCACTCCCAGGGCTCTGAGGGAGGGGACTTGGTCACTTTGTGTTTGCCACTTTCTTTCTATGAAAACAGAATAGTGTCAGTTCCAGCGTGATCCAAACATTCACGCCCTTGGTTATCCGCCAGAGGTTGGAGTTTCCAGTCCACCTGGGGCACCTCGGAAGAAAGGCCTGATGATCTGGTAAACCCACCGTGAAAGACAGGTCACACTTGTCTTCTGACACACAGCTGCCTCTGAGGTGGGGCTGAACACAGGTGACTAGAAGGCAGTCCTATCAACACCATATCTTCTAAAACTTCACCTGCTTTGTAACGTAGCCCGTGTATGTCAGCATCGTGTCTGGCTTGTTAAGGTTCTGTGCGACACAGGCTTTGCTCTGCTGATACGTGATTCCCTCAGTTTTCAGCCTCGTGTGTAAATGCCTCCCTGCACCCCCAGTCCTGGGCACAGGCTGCACTGTGGGCTCAGTGGCGGCCGAGGCCCGTTAGCTGTGCTCTGGAGGGCACACGGGTGGGCCTGGGGTCAGGAGGGTTCGAGGCCCAGTGATGGATGCTTGGGAAGTGGCTCCTGTGACTCCCAAGGGGGTTGTCGGCCGAGTGGGGGGCTGCTCACAGGAGACGGTTCCCTGGCGCTAAACTATCTTGATCTAACCACTGAGCTCTGCGGCAGCTAATGATGGCAGCTGTGGTGCCACGTGTGCTCAAGGTGTGGTGAAAACCAGGGTTTGTGGCAGAAACCACGTGTTTTGTTGTGTCAGCACCTTGTGGCCCTGTGGGGTAGTGTGCTGAGGCAGAGCACGTGCTTGTCACGTGAGGGAAGACCACAGGCGCCCCGTGACCGTGACTGGGTGAGAAGCAGAGCATGTGTTGGTCACACGGCCTGTGTCACACACCACGGAGCGCCACCCGAGCTGCATGCCTGTCACACGGCCTGTGTCACACACCACGGAGCGTCACCGGAGCTGCGTGCCTGTCACACAGCCTGTGTCACACACCACGGAGCATCACCCGAGCTGCGTGTTTGCCACATGAGTGCCGTACGGTGACCCTCTCATAAGGCTGCTGCTCTCTGTGACAGGTCTGTGTGGGGAGCATGAGGCCACAGCCAGGCTTCTCAGGGCTGGACAAGGACACTGTCACCAGGCAGCACAGGAGAAGCAGTCTTGTTTACTGCTGTGTGATTCTCCTTGAGGCCAAGGAAAATCTCTCCCACTCACTTGGCCTTTGTCCGTGACGGCTGATGTCAGCAAGTCCCCAGAAAGCCCAGCACCGACGGCTGTGGAGGCGACCCCAGCTCACGGTGTCCCCAGTCCGTCAGTCCTGTCGTAACGAGAGGACACAACCCTAGCATTCCTCCTCAAAGAGCCTGGTGGATCTGAACTCCTGAACCTTGGATTAGTATCCTCACCTGGGTCCTGCTACACCAAGGCTTGGCGATCTCCCCAGCCCCACCCTTCGAGCAGACAGGGAGACCTGAGTTCAAGGTTCCCCAGGCGCCGAGCTCGCTGGGTCCAGCAAGTGAGCGAGTGTGAGTGGTGCGGTCACAGCGTCACCATGTGCCACCCTCATCCGGCGGTCACTCGCGTCCTGCTGGGCCTGGCTCTGCTTGATCTCACAGGTCAGTCGGTTCCTGGTCATAGCGACCCCAGGTGACATGATGACGTTCTGCCCGGCCTGTGCCGCCCTCGCAGTGCCTGCTGCCTGGAGCCCAGTGCTGCAGCACCTGTGCCGACCGGTGCCCTGGAGGGTCCCCTTTGCCGCAGTCCTCTAGCTTCCTGGTGTCCTTATCCAGGCACTGGCCCCTCCATTTCTAAAGGCCTTGTCCAGTGTCCCCAGGCACATGGTGAGCCCAGCCCAAGGACAGCCCAGTCGAGCCCAGCTCAGCCCATTTGGTGTTGACCTTGTCCATAGGAGCAGGTGTTTGCTGGGACATTGACCGCTGTTCTGGAACCTTCTAGAAAGTAGCTGTTGCCTGCGCCGCAGTCCTCTAGAGATGTGCAGTTTCTGGTATTGGCCGCCAACATGAGGTCTCAGGCTGGTGAGACGTGTTGCCATCTTCTCCATGAACTGTGGATGCCACAGATTCCTGAAGGAGACTGTGATGTCTCCAGAATCCCGGAGTTCTTGGAACTCAGTGTGACTCTGTGTCACACCAGCAGTCCCCCACCCTGTTCTCTGATGTCCCTGGCAAGCTGTCCTCTCCCGCCCGCCCAGAGGGCCCTGCACGACGATGGTGAGTGGGCGCCATGCATTCCAGGCGTGCTTCACTCCGGGAGGCCCTTTTTGTCCACGTGCCTGTCTGACAGCCTCACACTGCTGTCCCAGCCAGTGTCCCCTCAGGCCTGGCTGGACGCCTCCCTCCTGGCCACTGATGGGGCTCGCACTCTGACCTCTCACTGTGCTGTGGCTGGACAGCCACCCTGAGGTGCTACCTGTGTGCTGAGTGCCCTTTGCACTGCTGATGGATGTCCCCATCCTGACACGGATGGCACAGGCCACACCTGCAGACAGGAAGGGGCTCTGCGTGAAGCGGTGGATGCGGCCTCCCTGTCCCCATGCCAGGCAGGCCGCCTCCCCAATCCCACACTGAGTGGGCCACCTCCCTGACCCCACGTCGGGCAGGCCACCTCCCTGACCCCACGTCGGGCAGGCCACCTCCCTGACCCCACGTCGGGCAGGCCACCTCCCTGACCCCACGCTGGCCAGACTGCCTTCCTGTCCCCACGCTGGACAGGGCTCTCACTGAGGAAGGAGCTTGTGGAATCTGGGTGTCTGCTGCATTTGGACCTGGTGCCAGCGCCTCCCTGAAAGGCACCCTGGGCACTTGCTGACACTGGATTTCCTCAAAGGGCATTTCTCCTCTGGCAACCTCCTCCCACTGGGCTGTGTGGTTGTGATTCAGCCTGGGGGCCGTGGGGGGCAGCGGTGCAGTGACCCCCGGGTGCTGTCTGAGTGCTGTGTGCTCACCTGCCCCCTCTTCCTTCCAGGACTCGGATTCTCGGCCTCGCCCATGACGCCCTCCCCACCATGTTCTATGGGACTCATTTCAGCATGTCTCCTCCCGCCAAGAGCAAGCTGAAGCGGCACAGCCAGTTGCTGTCCAGCATGCTGTCTCGGACCCTGAGCTACAAGTCCCGAGACCTGGAGCCCACCCTGGGCAGCCCGGGCGCCAGGGACGACCCTGCCGAGCTGTCCACTCAGCTCTCTGCCCCGGGTGTCCTGAAGGTGTTTGGGGACAGCGTCTGCTCGGGCACCCACTATAAGAGCGTCTTGGCCACGGGCTCGTCCAGTGCCCTCGAGCTCGTGAAGGAGGCCCTGGAGCGCTACGCCCTGAGCCCCGAGTGCGCCGGCCAGTACGTGCTGTGCGACGTGGTGGGACGGGCCAGCAGCACGGGGCAGCGGTGGCAGGCCGAGTGCTTCCGCGTGTTCGGGGACAACGAGAAGCCCCTCCTGATCCAGGAGTTCTGGAAGCCCCAGGAAGGCCTCTCACGGAGGTTTGAGCTGAGGAAGAGGTCAGATGTGGAAGAGCTGGCCTCCAGGGATGTGGACACCACCACGGCAGGTGAGGACACGGGGAGGGCTTGGGCACAGAAGACTCGGGGGGCAGGGGCGTCGCATGGCAGGTGCATGTGGGGCACATGTGTGAGAGGCAGGGGTCTGAGCCTGCGTTGAGCGTCTCGTGCTGTTTCCACCTTTGCCTTTGTGGAACTGGAAGAATGTGCTTGCCGTCCAGTCTGCTCTGAGGGGCCTGCAGGTGTTTCTGGTGGCCACTGCAGTCAGTCTCTGAGTCAAAAATGTCAAGGACTTGGACTTGGCATTTAAAAGCCAAACTCACCCCCTGGCACCGAGACGTTCTGACTCAGGACCCTGTAGGAGAGAGTAGATGTGCTCGTGGACAGCCACAGGCTCAGTCCATGGAGTGGCTGTGGGTTCAGACTGCCCGAACCACAGTGCCATCGAGCTCCTTTGGCTTCCAGTTGTACGTACATTGGCCCTCGCTTTGAAACAGTTGAACTAAGCACCTTGAGGCAGCGTCATCACTGGCGCCGCCACTTGCAGCACGTGCAGCTTTTAAATCACAGAAAAGCTTTGAGCCTTTCCTGCACTAACTCAGACTCACAACCAGCCTCATTGTGGCGGAGTTAATTTCGACTCCCAGTGACCCCGTTGGACTGAGAACTTCCCGCAGGGTTTGCTCCTGTGAGCCTCCCAGAGCAGACCGCCACACCTTCCTCTTCTGGAGCTCCGGACGGGCCATGTTGGGGGGCCGAGAGCGTAACCGCTGAGCCACCAGGTCTCCTTTCTGCACTAAAGCCAGAGCTCCTTCCTGGCACTGAATAAGGCCAGAGACAACCCCCCCCCAAGCACCTACTCGACTCTGCCCAGTTTTCTGGAAGGTGTGATGGCTGCACAAGAAAATGTGCAAGACTGAGCGAGTGGTATGCAGGTGTGCAGGTGTGGAGGTGTTCAGGCGTGGAGGCATACAGGTGTTGAGGCATGGAGGTGTGCAGGTGTGGTAGTATGCAGGTGTGGAGGTGTTCAGGGGTGGAGGTGTGCAGGTGTCTAGGTGTAGAGGCGTGGAGGTGTGCAGGTGTCTAGGTGTAGAGGCGTGGAGGCGTACAGGTGTGGAGGCGTGCAGGTGTGGAGGCGTGCAGGTGTGGAGGCGTGCAGGTGTACCATGCCCTGGGCTGCTCGTCTCGGGGTTCCTGCAGCCTCCGGCCTTGCCTGTGTGCCCCTCCGAGGGGCTGTGTGGGCCTTTTCCTCCAGTCCCATGCCCAGCGGGGGTAGAGTGGCCGCCTTGTGGTGCTGCGGTGCAGCCCCAGGGACAGCGGGCAGCAGGCGTGCAGTACAGGCCCTGTGTGACAGTGCGCAGACCGTGTCCGTTTTCTCTGAGGCTCTGTTTTCTCTCTCCATTTTCTGGCCATGGTAATGCCTCCTTCCATGGCCCGGTAAGGATGAAATGGGGTGTGCGTGTGTGTGAGTGTGTGTCCAGTGCACACCCAGGAAGAGCTCAGGGAGTCTCTGCTGTCTGTTGGGAGCCTGGCTGCTCCTGGGACAACAGGCCGCCCTTTCCTGCACTGCTCAGGGCCTGTGCTTGTCACAGATGGAAGGCCTGGGGTGGCCCCTGAGCGAGGGGACATCTCCAGGTCCCACCTGGTGGTTCTGCAGCGTTTGCTGAGCACACCTGCAGGGGGCAGCATGGAGGCCCAGCTTTGGTGCGCCGTGGTCTGCATCCTGCATCCAGCATCTGAGCACGTGGCAGTCGGCTCTTTTGCCGGTAAACATGGCTGGCGTGTGGAGTCTCTGGCGTGTGTGTTGACCTGAAGCAGACCCCATTTGTTCCTGAGCGGTTACTATTTGAGAAGTGTCCTCAGGCCCCTGCACCGCGTGCCCTCGTGGACCCGCCCGCCCCCCACAGTCCCTGCCGAGTTGTTCTCCAAGGACTTTGACTCCTTCTCCAAGACCTCAGAAAGCCCAGTGCTGGCGAGCGAGTGCTGGGTGCTGTCCACTTGACCCTGGCAGATCATGTAGCACAGCCCTGCCTCAGCCCCAGTTTCGGGGTGCGCCCGGCAGCACCTTCCTCCTGCAGAGCAGGTGTTGTGTGCTCTTGAGCTGCCTGTAACTCACAGCGGCTCTACGTGCAGGATCGCTGGGCCCTGCTCCCTCCTGAGCTGCAGGAACGGCAGCCTTGTGGTCAGCAGCCACGTCGTCCCCCATCGGGCCGCCAGGGATCCGTCAGACCTCAGAGGGGTCGCAGGTGCTGGGCAGGGGGTGGAGCCACTTGTGCGTGGAGGTGAGGTGCTGTGACCAGGCGCTGTCCTGCTCGCTTTCTCAGCACGGGACGGCAGATGCCCCGGGGCTCAGCTGAGGACCCTGCAGGGTCATCTGTGCAGCCCACGGCCTGAGCACAAAGCCCCGTCTCCTGTCCCACTGCCTGGCAGCACGGGCCCGGCACATGGGCGCTGGCCTCTGCCGTGGCTGCTGCGGAGGCCAGTGGGGTGCTGGATGTGGCCGGAAGGGTTCCGGCCGGTGAGCTGAGGCGTGAGGCGCGCTCCCTCGCTGTGGCCTGCTGAGCTCTTTCATAGGGAAGAGTCTACCCCCAACCCGACCTGTCTGCTGACACACTTCCCCGGCCAGGGGCGGCTTGTGTTACTGCCCAGCGTCACTGTCCAGCACAGGCTCGGGCCCCAGGGAGCAGGCTGCCCTGCTGGCCTTCTCCAAGGGTGTGGTCAGGGCCCGGTCTCCAGGGGCCACACGGTGACCTCCAGTGATAGAGGCAGCGCTCACAGGCTCAGGGAGGTGGTCAGGGCCCGAGGGTAGGCAGGCAGCCGTCCGCTCAGAGCAGCGTGCCTGGGACTCTGCATTGAGACAGGCCTGTGCCAGCACTGGTGACAGAATGTGTGACCCGGACTTCTCTGTGGGTGGGGCTAGCTGAGGAAGATTCTGGAACCTTACTCCCCAGCTTCTCAGACAATGCAGAACTGAGACCCAGCCCGCAGAGGGAGGCCACTCCTCATTTGGAATCCAGAACCTTTGGGCGACAGGCTTCCTGTGAACCCCAAAGTGTACACTCATTCACACGCACTCCCATCCAGATTCCTAAGACCCAGACACACATCGTCACGTACACATCCACAGTCACACGGCAACACAACACAGCTGTACTCGCAGACATCCACACAGGTACACACACATTTACACACCTACAGATCCTTGTCACACACACACATTCCACTCGGTCTCACTCATTACCCTCTTCTGCTCTCTCACACACACACTCTGAATCTGGGGTGACCCTTTCCCACGTGCCTTTTTACCCCTCACTGGGAAGGTTTCCCTTGGTCTCCTCACAGCTGAGAGAGCCCCAGTGTCACTCACTGAGGCCTGCAGTGTCCCCTACCCTGCCCCACCTCTGGTGGACATGTGGAACCACTGCTCCTGGGCCGTCAGCCCAGGCCGAGGGCACTGGAGGGACAGGAAGGCCCTGAAGTCACGACTGTCCTTGAGGGAAGCCGTCCTTCCCAGGATTCCTCACATGGCGCTCATGGCCTGGGCTGTGGTGTTCTCCTCTTGGTCGGCAACTGTGGGTGCTGATGGAAGCCGCTCCCTGCACCTCAGCTCCAGGTGCAGTGGGTCAAGGCATGGCCTCGGGACGCCACTCACTGTGGAATTCCCACTTCTGTCATGTGACGATCACCTCAGCAGACAGGGGTCCAAACAGAAACTCAGCCCACAGCCATGAGGCGAAGTCCGACTCAGAGCAGCCCTGTGCACAGAGCAGCCGGCCCCCGAGGGTCCCCAAGGCTGTCACGGTTACATCACACGGGCCTCAGCTTCGTCCCTCAGCAGCCAGTGCCCTCGCCCCGTGGCAGGTGCCCCTGAGCGCTCCTGCCGTCTCTGGAACGTGAGCCAGAGAAGGGCCGGGGTGGAGGCTCCATGGTGAGGCGCGCCCCAGAGCAGATGGAAATCTCGGGGTCACACAGCACGTCTTGGTGACAGGACTCATGAAAATTTAGTGTATGCAAAGAATTTAACTTGAAAAGTCATTTCCCTGGCTCATCGAGAGGTCGTTCTGTCTCCACGCTTTCCCAAGCCCTCCAGTGCTTTAGTGTTGTCAGGCTGCCAGGTGCACTTGTGGGCGCCTGACAGAGCGGGGGCCCCGGTCACGGAGACCAGCTGGAGGGCCGACTGAGAAGCAGGGACTTGCTGGGCGTCAGTCACGGCCAAACCACCGAGGTGAGCCATCCACCAGCCAGTGTGCTCAGAGCAGTGTGCTCTGCTGAGTCCCAGGCTGTGACCTGGATGCAGACCACCGAGGCTGTCTTCCGAGGTGCCTCAGGCTTATCTCAAACCGGCCACCTTTCAGCTTGTAGTCGAGCACTTAACCCCTTGTGCTACCCAGGGACTCTGCCAATCAGCATGTTGAACGTTCTGCAGGATTCTCTCCCCTCTTCTTAAAATCTCCCTGCCACCATCCCACACCAGGGACACACACACTCTGTCCTTTTGTTACGTTGTACTTTGTTGTAACACCTCCAGCCCTTTCTGGTTGCACAGTGGACTAAGCATTGGACTGTGAGGGAGAAAGGGGCAGTCTGCCTTCAGGGAGAGTGAGGCGGCACTGAGACTGCTGGGCTGCTCTCCCCCTGGGCCGCTCTGCCCCTGGCCTGCTCTGCCCCAGGACCCTCTGCCCCTGGGCCACCGGCAGTCAAGCCGCTCAGTGGCACTGGGTACGGCTGGGGATTTCCTGGGACCCAGGCCACCTAACTCTTGAGCAGTGGTCGTCTCCAGCACAGCTCCTGGGCCCACGGCCTGATGGGTTGTACTGGTTTCAGATCTGGAGAGAGTCCCCATGCTCATAGCACATAGTGGGGCCTCTCCTGTGGCCGGCTTTCCCTGTGGACTGTGGCCAGCACAAGTGGCCAGATGTTTCCCGGTAGGACTCGGAGGGCCCCGCCTCTGCTCTCCAGGACGCTGCTGTGTGTCCAGTGCGGCGCGCCCAGGCAGCTGTTTTTCCGAAACACTGCAGTTCCCTGGCCTTGGTCCCACCCCCATTCCTGGGGCATCACAGTTGGAGGAAGAGGCCTGGTCAGGGGCTGGGGCTGAGGACCCGTGCCCGGCAGAGAGGGGCCCGTCACTGCGATAAAGGCAGCCATGAGCGTGGGAGGTGGGCGAGGCCAGGCCATGTGGTTCCTGTCAGTGAGCTGGGAAAAATGAGAAGGGGGAGACAGAACAAGAGAGAGACTCGGAGCGAGTGAGAGATCCAGAACCTTGCTCGTTCTCCCCGGGGGCGCGAGCGTGTCATCAGCACAAGGCTGGGCGAGGCCTCTGCCCTTCTTTCCTCCCTTTTCTTGCCGTGGGACGTTTCTCTGCACGGGGTTTCTCAGCTTGGCACTACGGATGTTCTGAACTGGGGCGTCTGCCGTGGGGCTGTCCTGCACCCTGTGGGGTGTGTGGCACACGCTGACCTCTGCTCTCTCAATGTTTGACGTTCCGCACTGACAGCTGCTCTGGGGGCCGCCCTGGTATCTCGAAGCTAGGTTTGTGGGCAGCACCTAGCCTGCGGCAGTGGGGGCCAGGTGACTAGGTGCCCTCTTGTGGCCATCAGCCTGACTGGGTGTGGCCACACCTGCATGCCCAGGTTCTCTTCCGAGGCACTTGGAAGCCAGCGTCGTGAGGAGGGTGATGTAATATGGGTGCTTTTCAGTAGAGTGTACTTGACTTTCAAGCTTGGCCTGACGTTCTTAAAGCGTCCATGAAATCCAATAATGGCAAATGAGCAACAGCCTGGCTGAAGACGTTTCACCTGGAACCTACATTCCAACCCTCACTGACAGCGCAGTCAGTGGTCCGGCTGACGGTGACCCTGCAGAATATGGGTTCCCAAGGCCACAAGGTGCACGGCCTCAGAAGGCCTCATCTCTGGCGTGCAGTGGCTAGTGGAGTCAAACCACCAGCGTTACCTTTCAGTTAGCAGCCAAATTCTCTATGACCCCACCCCCACTCCTTAATTGGAGCACTGTTGTTAAGGGCTGCCGAGTCAGCAAGGACTCATGTGACTGTGGACAACGGATCCTAATCCTGCCCTACCCTGTGCCGTCCTGACTGTCTCCGACCTGCTCAAGCCCACCAGAAAGCAGCAGAACAGTCATGGTGCCTTCCATGCTGGGAGACAAAGCAAGGGCCAGCCAAAGCCTGTGGGGTTAGTCGCCACTGAGCCGGTTCCAACTGGATCCAAGGACAGGGCAAAAGGAAAAACCGAAGAGATTCTTCACTGCCCCAATAGGCTCAGCTATGAAGGGACTTCCAGAGGACATGCCTTCGGGTACAGCCATCTGAAGAGGGTCTTAAACAGGAAGCAGGTCTGCGATGTTAGGAGAAACGGTGAGGAAAGAAATACTACGTATATATCTCAGCATGTTGGAGGAAAACCCAACCCACACCCACTGGAATTGACTCCTGCACCCCCCCTCCCCCCAGCCAGATTTGTGGGGTTGTAAATATATTTTTTTGGGGGTGGGAGAACTTACCATCCTTCTCCCATTGAGTACCAGGTGCATTCGAATAACTGACCTTTGGGTTGGTAATAGACTGTATAATGCAGTATCCTCCTTGCAGTTCCAAGCTGGGGAAAGCTGTTAAAAGTAGAGTAATGTTCCCCACTGGACCCTCATCATTTCCTTCACCTGCTCCCCCCACCGACCAAACTGTGCAGCTCTGCAACTGCATCCTGGCCCATCGTCATCCTTCTGCCCCCAACCCTCACCTCCTTGTACCCCCAATATGTTTTTCCCAATAAAAAAAAATTCATTTATTAAAAAAAAAAAACCAACCTGTTGGATGAAAGAGTGAATTGATGCAAAAAAAAAAAGAAGTAGAGGAATGTTCCACATTCTACCCCTAAGGAAAGGGCAGGCAGAGAGAGGCGTGACGGACAGAATCGCCACCACAAGAAGCAGGACGACTGCCTGATTAGGGCTGCAGGTTGCCCAGCGCTCGGGGCCTCTCGGGCAGGAGGAGCGGCGGGCGCCTCGCGGGGGAGCCTGCGAACTACAACTCCCGTGAGCCCTCGCGCGCGGGCGGCCGGTGCGCCGGCGCAGTGGGGGCGCGCAGGCGCGTTCCGCGCGCTTGTTCTCGAACGCGGCGGCGGCGGCCCGGGGCGCCATGTTGGGGCCGAGGGGAAGGCGGCGACGCGCTTGAGGCGGT